AACCAATAAACACATATACAAATATCAATCATACTATAATCAACCCGATAAGCATAAATATATATAAAATAGTTACCACAGTGATCCCAGAATTCTGAACACGGCTAATACTTGCAAAACGAATAAACATATACTGATATAAATTAGTTACTATTCCGCGAGAAATCTTGCGTCTGCGCAGTCGGACTGTAAACAGTTCCTAAACTAGTTCTTTCACAATACATTCCGTACAGATCTTCAGGGGGAACTCAGAAATACCCAGGGGCGACAAACAGACTTTCTATACGCAGCATGGCTCGCGTAACAACAAGAGACCATCCATTGATAGAGTGCATTGGTATTCCCGATTTTAAAGATTTGGCTGATGATGTATGAATTAGATATTTGTATTATTGTTTTTGAAAACTGACTATTTTCATCTGTGGTTTCTCTACAAAAGTTACTTGCGTATTTTTTGCTTCAGAAGCAATGGAGGAATTAACAGAAGTAAAAACTTTTGGTCAGCTAAAGGTTAAGGGTTCCGTTGTGAATCGGTCATTGCTTAAAATTACAAAAACACTGCCTTTATGAACATTTAAAATCACAAAGGGCTTTTATCAAGACTTATTTCTCAAACATTTGTTCTCTGCATAGTTCCCTGTATAATTTTTTTCCACTTTCTATCCAATTAAGTTTTTTTTCAATTAACAAATTAAGCAGAATTAACTCTTTTGATCCTTATAATAGAGGCTTAGTCTATTACTTGTTCAATACCTCTGTACGGTATCAGGTAAGATATTAAAATATATAAAATGATTATTAATCATTTACTTGAAAAAAGTCGATGAAGTTTTGCAATATCAAAAATCTATGGAAATATTTTAGTTTAAATATTATAGGAAAATTTTCTCTCGAACTTAAAATTTGATAAGGAGACATTTCGTCTGTCTTCATAAAGGCTAAAAGTTTTCTTGCGGTGCATATTTATTGTCGGTCTTAGATAGCAAGAAAAAATATTTTTTTGGCATATAAACAATTCTGTTAAACCTCTAATTATCAAATTTCCATTAAAGGACTGTAAGCGTAATTTCAAGTGACCCTCCCATGCAAAGATGGCAATGTCCGATTCACGATTGTACCATCAAAAGTTTAAGAATTAATTTTATAATTTTAAAAACTAATAATTTTCATTAGTATTTTTTTCTAAAAAATTGACTTGAGAATTTCTAATGCAGGAAAACATATAGGAATTATCAGAATTAAACACTTATAAACCTAAATAAACGACATTATTGATCAGATAAAGGTTCCAAGGGTATCGATGGGAATCGGACAAGGCCATCTCCTTGCATGGGGGTCCACTTAAAATTTCACTTACATTCTCTTTAAATCAGAGTCATTGTCATAAAAGATTATACTTTTTATTAAGACATCCTCTTTAATTATATTATATAATCCATAAAAAATATATCTCAAATATTACTTTTTAAGGACATTAAATAGATTATTTAGAGAAACATGAAGATTACATATTAGAAATTCAAAACGTTTTGTTCTTCTCAATATCTCTTCAATAAGAGGAGTCAAAAGTAAAAAAAGTGAAAGATTACAATGTTACGTGGAATTTACTTTAAGTTAACTTGAAAATGTTCGTTGGTCTACATTAATTAATTCTAACATAATTCTCATCTTTGTATTCCACATATGTATGGGTCGTCCTTCAAGCTCTTTATTTTCTCTACAACCATTAGAAAACAAGAACAATAAAACAAATAAAAGTAAAACTCTAAGTTTTAGAACATAAGTTCTCCGCATACAAGGATAAACATTATCAATATTATATAAATATATATAATAAAGCTCTTTGCTCATATATGTATATAAATTTAAATGTTATTGCTTTTGATGGCCAAACGGCTGGACCAAATTGGCTGACATTTAGTTACACATACGGGGGTAACAAAGGCTTAAAAAACACTTTTAAACAATTTTCCTAAAAATTTGATTTTTTTTAAAATTCGATTTTTCTAAAAATTCATATTTTTAAAAAATTCATATTTTTTAAAAATTCATATTTTTAAAATTCCACGGGCAACGCCGCGGGAACTTCAGCTGGTAAATAATAATAAACCTTGGATAAACCGAAAAACTAACCTCGGAGAATGTTTTAACCTCATGGCGTTGCCTCACTGAACCTCGGGCTGATCTGAAAATGTACAGGGTGTCTAGAAATAACTTGTTTCCTTCTATCTGATTAGTTTATCCAGTAACATATAGGAAGTTACAAAACTTTAAATCAAACCACAAAATCAAGGTCCGAATAAAAAACATTTTTTAGATTCAATCTGTTTGTCAAACTGTTTTCTTGGTCTACAATATCAAATATTTTCATTCCTAATTTACGACAACAACAAATATGTACTTTTATTTTCCGACTAAAAAAGAATCTGAAAAATAATATGAAACCAATCTATTTTTTTTCTAAATTTCCTTATAAAAATTGTTAACAGCTTCATAAAAAAGTACAAACCTTTTGGATAAATATGTTTACTTTGTTTTTATTCCTTCTAAGAAAACTAGCGCAGAGCCAAGGAAAAATAAAATAGAATATTTTTTCCTTCTTAATGAAAAAGTTTTAGCTTTCTATTTGCTCTGAACCTACTCAGACCAGTCTTCTATCCATTTTTTTATCAAATAATGGAATAATGAACAACCTAACCTGCCTCCACTAAACCACCTAACCTACCTCCACTAAACCATCTAACCTGCCTCCACTAAACCACCTTACCTGCCTCCACTAAACCACCTAACCTGCCTCCACTAAACCACCTAACCTGCCTCCACTAAACCACCTAACCTACCTCCACTAAACCATCTAACCTGCCTCCACTGAACCATCTAACCTGCCTCCACTAAATCACCTAACCTGCCTCCACTAAACCACCTACCTGCCTCCACTAAACCACATAACCTGCCTCCACTGAACCACCTAACCTGCCTGCACTAAACCACCTAACCTGCCTCCACTAAACCACCTAACCTGCCTCCACTAAACCACCTAACCTGCCTCCACTAAACCACCTAACCTGCCTCCACTGAACCACCTAACCTGCCTCCACTGAACCACCTAACCTGCCTCCACTAAACCACCTAACCTGCCTCCACTAAACCACCTAACCTGCCTCAACTAAACCACCTAACCTACCTCCACTAAACCACCTAACCTACCTCCACTAAACCACCTAACCTACCTCCACTAAACCACCTAACCTGCCTGCAATAAACCACCTAACCTGCCTCCACTGAACCACCTAACCTGCCTCCACTAAACCACCTAACCTACCTCAACTAAACCACCTAACCTACCTCCACTAAACCACCTAACCTACCTCAACTAAACCACCTAACCTGTCTCCACTAAACCACCTAACCTGCCGCCACTGAACCACCTAACCTGCCTCCATATATCTTGTACCTGTTCCCCTCTGTGTCCCCTCCAATGAGAACCTCCTTCAAATTATGGCAGGAACTTGCTTCTAAATATAATATTTTCAACTTTAGATAAACTGCAAAGGGTGGGGGTGACGATCATTTCACCCCCTGACCAACTGTAGATTCCGCTTTACCTCCTTTTAAGTGCTCATAGAACTCGATACACGAGTGTTTTTGCGAATTATTAATCAAGACGCCGTCTTAATCCTAATTAAGAAAACCTATGAATTTAAATTTGAATTTAAATATCTAATGAATCTGATAAAAATGTTTTAAAAATGTAAACTTGGATTTTCCTTGTATATTTAAACTAAAATATAGAGTAAATTGCCTAGGATAGAGAGATGTCATGAATAAATATCCATATTTGGCAACTATCCACTGTACAGCAGTTGCAGGGTTAACCATCATTTACAGAGTTCTCAGTCGGAAAGGAATTGAGTTTTTGTCACAAAATCTGATTTTCTTATCCCTATATCTTTGCATTTCAATGTCAGAAACCTTAGATATTTCAAACTATGAATTATTTTAGATCAGATGATAATAGTTTGAAATATCAAAGGTTAACACCATCAGGTTGCAAAGATATAGCGATTTGAAAATCAGAATTTGTGGCTAAAACTCAATTCCTTTAAGAAAGTATTGTTTACTTTTTACATTTGGGGGTAAATACATTTTAGTAGATCTTATTTTAAAATCAGAAAACAAAAAGGGAATGGAAAGAAATCACATAAAGTAATATTTCTTAACAAAATATTGATATCTACAAAACTGTGTTGACACCATTCATGAAACCGGGTTTCCGATACTATAGGTTTCATTACGATATGCAAAAGTGTGTAGAACCCTAAAAGGAAACTCGGGAGTTTCTTTCAACCATATTATTTTAATTTTCGGACTCAGGAACGTACTATATATTTGGTTATTATACTGTAGGTTAGGCCAAAATCTCCAATTTATGTCATTTAATAGTTAATAGATGTAAGTGTACAGTACAGCCAAATAGTCTGTCAGGTAGACGAAATCAACCCCGGTCCCAGGTTCTTGTGTAAGTGTACAGTACAGTGAAATAGTCTGTCAGGTAGACAAATCAACCCCGGTCCCTGGTTCTTGTGAAATCAAGGCCCCACGTTGTAATTTCAAGTGTCTTCCATTTCTTTTCTATTATAATAATGTGGAAGCTTGAAAGAGTTTGATTTTGATGATTCCCTCCATTAGTTTCTGAAGCAGATATGCGCAAGTAACTTCGTAGAGAAACCAAAATTTAAACAACCAAAAAATCACTTGACATTACATCAAAAATATTTTTGTAAATTTGAAAATGTTTCATCAAATTTGCAACAAAATAGTCTGTCTTCTTGTTTCACCAATGTAAGAAGAAGAAAAATGTCAGAAGAGGAGCGCAAATGTGTCCTATAGCCTTAGCTTAGAATAGAATAATAATCTAAAAAATCCTTTTTAGAAAGGTTGCGTAGAACTTTTCTCGATTTGTTTTCTACAGAACCTAATCATTTTCATTACTAAATATGATTTTTTTGTTTGTCGGGAAAAGTATCCAAACACTAAGTGTTTTTTAATCTATGTGCATTTGGCATTGCCTTGTCTACTTGTTAGGTTTTAGGAGAATTACGTTTTTGGTGAATTATCCCATTATTTCGCATAGGTCAGAATTAAAAATGCCAACAGTTAAAACAGACAAATCTGCGAAATTTTTTCTTCTGTCGAATTTGTTGATTTTCTTCTTAAATCTAATCATTATAATGCTCTTCTGTTAGTTCCATAGTATTTTAAAGCTGTTTAGTGAGAATCACTTCTGCAGGATAATGGATAAAGTTGCAACATCCCTTTTGTATACTGTATTAAAATATTCCGGTTTGTGTTTGTAAACAAGGAGCATACTCCAAACTTTAAGTTAACCAGGTATGGATGACCAAAGTAAAGTTAGTCGTATCGGAACTTTGTAGAATCTAGGAGCTTTTGACTCACCTGAGCGTATTTGGTATGTAAAATTTTATCTTTATTTTGTATTTTATTATTAAATATATTCAGTATTTGATATTTCTTAGATAATGTATTTTTCAGTGTATTAATAACAGAAGAATAAAGACTAGAATCTCTTCAACCATTGGTACCAGTGCATTCATGAAATTAGACTATGATTCCTATATCTGATTTTTTGCATTTGCCATTTTCTGTTGTGCGCAATGCCCCGTAAAATTCCAAAACAGAGAGAGGGGGATTTTGTAGATCCAGAAAAATAATGTCTGTGGGATACCTGCGTAGAGACTGGAAGCTGGTGGGGTCTTAAATGTAAGACATGCGGCCGCAGCACTCGTCCCCTAGCCTGTCCTAGCCGCAGCGCTCGGCCCAGAAAGTGTCATAACTTAACCTAACCCGTGGCCGCAGCGCTCGGCCCAGAAAGTGTCTTAACCTAACCTAACCCAAAATAAATAATAATTTAATTATTTTTCTGGATCTACAAAATTTAATCCCCTCTCTCTGTTTTGGAATTTTACGGGGCATATGCGCACAACAGAAACTGGCAAATCCCCTGATATTTTGGGTTTGCTCAACAAAAGCTTACCTGAATCATTGATGAATTTTAAAGGAAAACTTTCACTAAAAACACTTTATACGTTAAATATACAAAAACATTTTTCAATAGATTTTTGTCCAGATAGAAACGTTTTTCAAAATTATTTTAATTCTTTGAATGGTTATAACTCCGTCTGCAAAGAAGGAGGTATCTCATTGTTCTTGTTCTTAAAATGAAACATACATAAAAACCCTTAATTTAAATTAAAAATATCTTTTTTCTCAGAATGTTAGATGTGCAAGGGGGGCAACAAAGTTTTTTTGGCGTGCCAGCATTGCCCCTTCCCGTCGCAAAAACTCAAGTTAGCCACTATACATAATTAGATTTAGCTAGCTAGGAAAAGGAGAAAAATTGAAGAAGAAAACTTCTCTGGAACTTTGGTTGCATGGTTTCTTCTTTATGGTTACAGAAGTTTCTTTACATAAAGGGTTATCTAACTTGGGATTTGGACATCTTGAAGAGAGAGACTGGTTAGACATGGAACAGTGATAACCAGAAAACTGTAGAATGGGAAGACGACATTTTAGCAATACTGAAGTACATTTGATGTTGGTACAAAGCAGATTTCTTTACTATGTAGTAAATTTTTAAACACTTACTATGTGAAATGGGTCTGTTTACACTGCACAACTGCTGGGCCTCAAGTCCATTGGAATATTTAAAGTCATTACTTGAGTTTCTAAGTCGACATTCTATTCCAGAGTTTTCTGGTTATCACTGTAGTTGAGCCGAAAGTGCAGTATTGTAAAATGTATAATCCAGGAGAATTTAAAAGATTGAATTTGCGCTCTTGCTAAACAATTATACACCTTAAAAACGCCTTAATCCTGAAAAGTTTCTCTACAATACTACACTTTCAGCTCAACTATGTAATTTTTTAAGTGATAGATGTAGACAGGACAAAATATTTAAAAGTACCATAAAAAGTTTAGTACTAAAAGATTATTTCATATAAAAAAGGCAGACTCACCCGCGACATTTTCAATTAAAACATAATACAGATAAATGTGAGTCCTTGGTGAGAAAATGTTTCAAAAATTATCTTTTTAGTGCCAAGATAACATTTATTCAAACTTTCATAATTGTCTCTTTAAAAAATATTTTTAGAGAAAAACAAAATGGTGTTTCTCTGAAATTTTGACTTCAAAGGAAGGTTTTCTTAGAACAATGCATCAAGTTTTTATCTATTTTAAGAGATTAATTCATTCATTTATCATCCCGGGATATTTTTTTTAATTCTCATGTAATAGTTTAAAGAACGTAATTACCTAATATTTTAATGAAAAATAAATAAATTGTTCTATAGGAAGCATTAGCTCGCAAAAAAAATAAATTATATTATTTTTTTAAGTCCTGATTTGGAAGTCACATATGTTTTTCTGTGAAAATAAGAGTTTTTCGCTAAAAGCTCAGAGCTGGGAACTTTTGAATGGTGGATATCGGGATTAATGCTTGATCCACTCTTTTTTTAATCTCAAGATTAAATAATGCTTGTTCTCCTTTTATTATTTATCTCAAGATTAATTAACCAATCGGGATTAAGGATATCACAATCTTAAGTTTTCAGCTCTGATCATTCTGGATTGTGAGAGTGGTAAAATAGCTTTAGAAGGATTAATTTTCACAAAAACGGGGTCCCAATATTATGATAATTTTGAATAAGGTAAACAATCCCTTTGAAAATGAATTTTAAATGATTTTGAAGTTTGTATCTGGACTTAAAGGAATAGGAAGTTTGTTGAAGATGAGTATAAAGTAATTTCCTCTTCTGTTCGGTTAAATCAGGTTCAAGACTCCTCTCCGCTCCAGGTTCAATGGAGTTAAATTCTTCAGGGGGAGTTAGTTTGTTTTGTAATGATGATTTGGTTTCTATAGTTTTGATGGGTGAGCTATTTAGTAGGATAGGATTTGGTTCACAGCCTAGTTTTGTATCTACACTCCTGCAATTTTTATATAATTTATCAAGAAATATTTTTTCAATTGCGTCGCTTATGTCTACTACTTCTCTATATAGAACTGTTGTATGTTACCACGGTTTACCAAACCTATTATTGTATCATTGTTAATATCTAATACATATGTATTTGGCTTCTATGTTTTTTTTGTGAAATAAACGGCAAAATGTTTAAATAGATTAGAGCTCAAAGAAACTGATTTTCTAATCATTATATATTATATATTCTTAACTTTTGATATTTCATACAATGAAGATACAGAAATAACCAGAAAACTATGGAATAGATAGGACATGTATAACTAATACCAGGACATTAATACCAGAACATGTATTATTAAGACTGGGCCATGTATTATTAAAACCAGGAAATGTTTTATTGATACCAGGACATGTATTTTAATACCTGGGCACGTATTATTAATACCAGGACATGTATTTTAATACCAGGGCATGTATTTTTAATACCAGGACATGTATTATAAAAAGCAAAACACATAACATTTACCAGGACATGTATAATAAAAAACAGGACATGTACTATTAATATCAGGACATGTATTATAAAAAGCAGGACATGAATTATTAACACCAGGACATGTACTATAAAAACCAGGACATGAACTATTAATACCAGGACATGTATTATCATAACCAGGACATGCATAATTAAAAGTATGACATTTATTATTAATACCAGGACATGTATTTTTAATATCAGGACATCTATTATTAATACCAGGACATGTATTATTAAAAGCAGGACATGTATTATTAATATCAGGACATGTATTATTAAAAGCAGGACCTGTATTATTAATACCAGGACATGTATTATTAATATCAGGACATGTATTATTAAAAGCAGGACATGTATTATTAATACCAGGACATGTATTTTTAATATCAGGACATGTATTATTAATACCAGGACATGTATTATTAAAAGCAGGACATGTATTATTAATACCAGGAAATGTATTTTTAAAAGCAGGACATGTATTATTAATACCAGGACATGTATTATTAAAAGCAGGACAGGTATTATTAAAAGCAGGACATGTATTATTAAAAGCAGGACATGTATTATTTAAACCGGACATGTATTATCAAAAGCAGGACATGTATTATTAATACCAGGACATGTATTATTAAAAGCAGGACATGTATTATTAAAAGCAGGACATGTATTATTAAAAGCAGGACATGTATTATCAAAAGCAGGACATGTATTATTAAAAGCAGGACAGTATTATTAATACCAGGACATGTATTGTAAATACCATAAACTTATATTGATGGCATAAATAGTTTCTATTGATGATTACTTGATACAATATACAACAATATACATACACTATGCATACAATACTTGCAATACATACATACAAATATATGAGGTTCAATACTACACACATCCATATATCCATACATCCATACTTAACTTAATGTATCTACAAAATTTTCAGGACTTATTTAATTCACTTAAGGTGAACTATTGTTTCTAAAAAAATGTGTGTAAAAATGTATAAAAAGATATTTTTCAAACTAAAATTGACTAATTGAAATACCAAAATTCTACGAAATCTGGTTCAAAATATATAGAAATTAGAAATTCAGAGTTTGTAGCAATAATTCAGTTTCGTTTTAAATATTCTATGATTTTATAAAAATCAAATTAAGATTACTATTTTACTAATTATATAGTTTCCTAGCTAAGGATGAATGAATATCTCCTAAAGGTTGGTTTGTTTCATTATATCTTGAGTTTCTCCGAGTACCCTCGGTAAGCAAAGGATCTTGAGAACTTCGGATGTCGACACTATTTTTAATCCTCTCTCCTAACCTCTCTGAATTTCTACGGGAGACGGAACTGTCAAGGGTTTGATGACTACCTGGAGTTATCCTAGTAGTATCCTGGTAGTTGGAGCAAATACTTCCTGTACTTCCTGCTCCAATACCTTGACACTTCCTTGAACCGTTCCTACTCCGGTCTAAGGTTTGCGACCTGCTAGATAATCTGTCAATACAAGAGTCTTTAGATATCACTGTTTCTTTACTTGGGTTCCTGGATCTTAATCCTAGTCCGGGTTTGTTATCTCTGGATCTCAGAGATTCACGGGATATCCCTGATTCTCCCGATACAAGAGAATCCCGGCTAGAGTCCCGGGATCTAGCAATATCTTTACTATGATCTCGGGATCGACTGGAAGTTCTGCTGAGATCTTTAGATCGGCTGGAAGTTCGACTAAGATCTCTAGATCTATCTGAAGTCCTGCTATTGATATCTCTGGATGAGTCCATCTCTGCACTAGGATCTCTGGATCTATTTAATCTTTGGTTTAGCTCCAACTCCTCCGCTCCGGATAGGTTCCGTTCTCTCCCGGTCTCATTCTCAACAACTAGGATAAAGTTTGTATTTAGTTCCGGAGTTCCAATAAAGATTTAAAGATTTGAAAGAAGAGATGAATCCAACCTGCTCTCACGTTATGATTAGATCCTATTCTGGAGAGTGGAGTAGAATAGACCGGGGTTTCTCTCTCTCCTCTCTTGTCGTCACAAAGCTGAAACAGAAAAAAAATATTTTAGAATAATTATGATATGATTTTCTGATTTGCGTAAAGAATGCTTTTCATTTTTCATAATATGTCCTTTCAGTCATATTTATAATACTTATTTATACTTCTCAAAAGTGTTCATATTCTTTCTTTATACCCCATTCTTTCTTTATATCCCCTTCTTCGAAACCTTTTAATCCTAATTGGATTTAAAGAGCTAATATTTTTCCTCTGAATTCAATCCTATATTGCCCCCCCCCCTCTTTAAATTTTAAAATATTTTTCGTGATAAAAGACATATTATATATTAAACTATAAAGGGGCGTGCCCCAAAAACATTAAAATTTAAGTGACGACCATGAAAATTTTTTGATTTTTGAAATAAATCTAAAACACACTTTGATCGAATCCTCAAATAGATTATCAAGTATAATAGGTGGCAACAGAGAAATGGACCAAGTGTCAATTATAACAAGGAAAACGAAATTTTCTCACGTTAGTTGACATGTTTTCTAGGATTAACTAATAAAAAGTGTAAAAACATAAAATAAAGGAAACATCTAATTGCACTTATTTTATTGTAAAATAAGCACTTTATTCTAAAATTATCACTATTATTAATAATTTTGTCTGACACAAAAACTGAATTGACACTTGTGACCTCTGTATACGTCTGAGAGTGTACAAATTCTACGTTGCCATCTATTGTACTATAATCTATTTGGAATCCTAAACTATCCCAAATGTGTTGGATGATAGGTTCGTCCCATACGATCATCCTTTTTTTAAATCAAGATCATCCCGCTCTGTTGTTATACACATTGATTTCGCTAGGAGATGATTTAAAAAGTACTTTCTCGTCTTGTTAATTGTTATGTACAGCTTTCTCTTAATACCAGGACATGTATTATCAAAAGCAGGACATGTATTATTAATACCAGGACATGTATTATNACTGATTTATAGTCTGCACTGTACTTTCTCATCTTGTTAATTGTTATGTGTAATGTACAGCTTTCTCTAACTGATTTATAGTCTGCACTGTACTTTCTCATCTTGTTAATTGTTATGTGTAATGTACAGCTTTCTCTAACTGATTTATAGTCTGCACTGTACTTTCTCATCTTGTTAATTGTTATGTGTAATGTACAGCTTTCTCTAACTGATTTATAGTCTGCACTGTACTTGAAAGGAACCGAAGTTTACAATTTGTACAAAATAAAATAATCTCCTTTCTTGATTAAATTCTCTTTATATTGTTCCATTTTTCAAAGGTTTCATTGAAAGACAAGAAAATGAATAATGGAGATATCGTTACCTGTCAAAGTCAAAATGATTTTTTAAAGTTTTTTTTAAAGCATGGAATACCTCTTGAGAAAGAACTGTCATGTCAACAGGTTTAATTTTCCTGAGAGCAGAGAGCTTCTCAAGCCGCTCCCTAGCCTGCTGCTCCACAGCTATCACGAATGCGTCCTGGACATTGCTGCTCTCTGCTAGCTCCTCTGCTGTACAATAATAGTAATAATAATAATAATAAGATATAATAATAAATAATAGTTTAAAG